TGGATTTTGCCCAGAACCTGTGTGTAGACTGCCGGTGACAGTTCGAGAATAAAGAGTTGCTGTTTGAATCTACAAGATGTGAGTGGCTTGTGATTTTGTGCCCAGCCAGACTGCGGCACACAGAATGGGGAATGGGAGCATGATGTGCATGTCATTCCTGTGGTCTCCACATTGCCTCTACATTCTATAGGGAATCTATAGCACCTCAGGGATAAAAAGTATGAGACTCCTGTGAAACCCAAAGTGTAAAAGCTGGCTATAGAAGGCATAATGCCTTTTTATTAACAATACCAGCTCATTTTTATCTTATAGAAAAATTGACATGGCAAGACAGCTTGGAGAATATGTAACCAGTGAGTGAGGAGTTAATTTGACTAATTTAGAGGGGGTGTTCTTCATTGCTTTGGAGAAAGAACTTTCAGGGAAATGACTCATTTACACCCATTGGCAGGGCACCTTCTCCTTCAGGTCTTTAGATATACACTGACAGACTGTTTTCACTGCCCTTGTATTCCATCATATGATCCCACCCCAACCATATTCCTATACTCTTTCTTCATTCAGGGTATAATGTTGAGAAGGACACTGCTCTTTCTTAGTCATATCATAGATTTGATGATATGAGTACTCTACCACAAGACTGAACAATTTTTTTACTTTCTGTTTTTTATTAATATATTATAATTGCATATAATATTTGGGATCATTTTAACATAATTATACAAGCATGAAATATAATTTGCTACAATTCAATTACCAGTACTTCGTTTTCCATTCTGCCCTCTGAGAATGAGCTTGGTCAAATGGCTTGGTTTTGTCAATGGGACGTAGATGGGATTGAGAAGGGGTATGTCCTGGTTGAAGCCATAAGAGACATCCTCTTTCTCTGTCACTCTCATGAGCCTCTACATTCATCATGGGAATGTGTTCCAAGAAGCCACTGGGCAGGGAAAATAAGAAATAAGGTAATGGGCCTGGATCCAGACTCACCAGCAGGAGTAGAGGTTCTCAGCTGACTTGCAGACCTGCAAACATGAAAACTTTGAGGTTGCAATTAAAAACTAATACCAACTTATTGGAAGCCGTCTGTGAACTACGGACATTGTTTGACCAATTAAGGCAAGCAAGCTGCTATTCTGGGCACTCTTGGATGAAATTCCCTGGTTTGAGAAAGCCTAGATCATGCTGGCACCCTGACCTAGCTCACAGCTCCAAGTACAAACACTGCCCTCTGGAGATGGGCACAGCCTGCCAAGCACCAAACCCTAACACATTTACCCCAACACCTATCCTGTTGTTCAAGAAAAAGCTCCCTACTGATTCCCTCTAGTCTGTACTGCTATATATAAAGCAAGCACGGCATTTTCCCTTTGTTAGAAATCAAACCCATCTGGTCTGCTCAACCTGTCATACCCCTGCTTTTAAAATATTTCTGGCTTTCTGTGTTTATTTTGTAATTCTACTTTCATAGCTTTTATTTTGAAAGCAGCCCATACCTGTAACGGGTACTCTCTTTACCCACGCAAGATGCACACAGAACCAGCTGAAAGAATCGTATGGTTAATGAGTGCAGCTAATTATTAGCGACTATCATTCTCTAACCAGATAGTAAATACTGAAAGTTGAATTGGGACCAGACCAATTTTGGTGAAATTCAATTTATCTTTCAATTTGAGAATGGGAATATATTTTAATAGTACTTTTACAATCATGTGGAAAACTGTTATTTTGAGAATCCTTACAAGACTGATATTTATTTTGATGTTCATATTTGCATTTTGAGGAATGCAAACATCAAGAATTATCTTGTATTATATTTGAATCCAGGTGAAATATTCCCTAGGATTATCATCAGTCATGTTAGCCTATGTAACAGGCATCTCTGTGTTCACATGAAAGCAGCAAAACTTCAGGATTCAAGTGACATTCTCAGCTAGGATCTTAAAGGCTATTTTAATAATAATGTTAACCTACATATAACAAATATTATAACAAGAATATTACAGCATCTATAGCTGTGTGACACAACCCCCACAACACACACATGCAAGGGGAAAACAAAGGCTTATCACCTGTCTTTTTAATTTTGAATGTGTTTTTAGATGTGTATTACTCAAGTGGTAATCACTGGTCACACATAGCTAGTGTTAAGTACTTGAAATTTAAAGAGTCTTAATTAAGATGCCCTGTAAAATGGAATACACACATCAGATTATGAAAACTTAGTATTATATTAATAATTTTTCATTGATTACATGCTGAAATGAGAATATTGTGGGTTCAGCACTTTGTTAAACTCTCCTTGGTCACCCAGTTTGAAGTATGCATCTTGTTTCTTACAAGAACCTTGACTAATATAACAATAAAATGAAGTATAGTTTTAAAAAATTCTACTAATATTACATTTTATATTTATAAGAATTGAATTAGTTGAAACCCTTCTCTCCCCCCACTCACATACAGCCTAATTGAATAACTTCATTCATTCATTATTTATTTATTTATTTTGTTGTTGTTGTAGATGGACATAATACCTTTATTTTTTATTTATTTTTATGTGGTGTGAGGATCAACTCAGTGCCTTCCTCATGCTAGGCAAGCACTTCACTACTAAACTACAACTTCATTTATTTTGTCTACAAAAGAAATCACTTAGCTGATTTCTTTTCCCTGAGGATTCACAGAAAAAAAAAATTTCCCACTTTATAGGGAAATAGGGTTATTAAGAACCAGGTTTTGTGTCCTGAGTGCAAACCTAGTGATAAATAGTAATCAGTTACAACCAGGGACCAATCCAATGTTAAAATTAGTTGATAAGGACCCATATTATATCACCTACTCCACCAAGAATGGCCCAAAGCAAATCTTGGATCTACTTAAAAACAAAACAAAACAAAAAACTTCTTTTGAATAAAATTGAGATTAGATATTGTACATAATTTCTTAATTTGACCTTTTAACAAGTGGAGTTTGTCTCCCATATACTTTGAAGGATTTTGTTTTTGTTTTTAGCAACAAGACAGAAATGAAATAAGATTTATGTTGCCTGAAGGAAATTTGTAAATTCGAATTCCAACTGCTGAGGATAAGTGTTCAGAAAAAGAATAGCAATAGATTTGGGCAGAAGATGTGAGTTTGAGTTTCAGCTCTGCCATGGGCATTAGGAGGGGTAATACCTACCTTCTTGGGATTGCTGTGAGATTGGGATGAGAAAATAAAGATAATGCCTTTGAGCACAGAACCTGGTATAGCAGAAATTCTGTCAGTAGCAGCTGTAATAATAAAGGCAACTGCTACTGAGGAGACTTTTAACATGTTCCAGTTGGGTTCCTCATTCTTAATTAAGTTTCTAAGTTTGATTGTGAGTAACAGAAAAGAAAGGTTCCTTCCTCAGCTTTATTAAATTTATATTCACCTGTTGTAAAAATGGCTTGGTTATTCAACAGATTTAGGGACATTTGGCTTCTTGTTTCTGGGAGATTCTTCCTTCCCCCATCAGCTCAACAGTCAGTCCCCAGATCCAGACATGGACAGTGAGCCTGGTAGTAGTGAGAATAAGACATTACCACTCCGTCCCACTCAATAGGTAACTGTTGAATTCACAATCCTCCTGCCTCAGCCTTGCAGCAATCCTTAAAGGAAGGAAGCACAGGTTCTCATGGCTCCATGATAAGGCCCATAGCTAGTTCACAAAATATTCCATGGAATAAGTAAAGGCACAGTTGGTAACAACACTTTCAGACTGGGTTCCTGGTCCATTTGGGAATGTAATTACTTTGACAGGGCAAAAGCACACCACTCCATTCTAATACCACCCTATCTCTAAATGACACCTCTGGACAATAAAATTTGGCCTTCCTTTAAAACTCCACTGGTCCTCTTTGAAGTGAAGTTGATTAGCACATTCAGCTGTTAGCTGAGGGGTTTGTGACAGTCTTGTCTCTGCAACTTCTTGGTGATGAAATGTTAGTAAACTAATAGAGCTGATGTTTGCACATCATTGCGAATGTACTGATTGCCACTGAACTGCACTGAATTAAGTGTTCAGATGGTGAATTTTATGTTATATGTGTTTTAACATAATGAGCTCAAAACTCCAAAGATGCATTGTAGGGTGCACTTTCCCAATCCTGACTTGTAATTGTGTTTTTCTTCCTAGCATGTATACACCTATTTCATAGTTTCTCTTGAAATCTGAATGCCTATACATGCATCTGCTTTTCAAAAATCTCCTGTGTGAGCATTCCACTTGGTAGCATTGAACATCACCTAGAAATGTGTGACAAATTCACACCCCTATGTCAAAAGGATTAAGAATTTTATTAACGGCATGGGCACAGATCCCTTTGCAAAACTCTTTGGCCTTAGCACACATTTGCCTATTCTAGAAAATTCTCCTGCCCTAAGGGGCAAGGCTGAGAAGGACATAGGGTCTGCACTCCCCAAAGGCATGGTATGGCTTTCTTAATAAATGGGAAGCAGGGGGTAGAGAGGGATTCTCAAAGAATAAGACTGAACCAGTTCCTGAGATTCTTCTTTTAGCCACTCCACTTCCCAGAACAGGACTCAGGACTCTCAGTTCTTCCAGACAGAGTCAATATTGTTCTTTTATAAAGCAAAAATCATGAAAAGTGGCAGGTCTCAAAGACCTGCACAAGCACACAATACAAAGGAGGACTAGGGTAGGTGGGAAAGACTCATAAGACAGCGTCTGTCAGGAAGTTCTTGAGGCAGAGGGTGGTGAATTACCTCCCAAGAAAATGCCTCAGAGGAAGCCAAGGAAGCTTTGTGCTAGTCAAGACACCTTGGCAGGCACAGGAGGAGGCTGCTGGACACCACACACTGCTGCATGGAGGGAGGCGCTCCCTGGGCAGGTTTGTTCTGAGTCCAGGCAGAAGATTTCAGGTGCTCCTGCTATACCATTTCTTCCCACAAATGTGCAGGCTTGTTAAGGATAAACAAGGCTGCGGTGATCTCTATGGCCAACAACAGGGAGAAGAAGAACATAAGGAACACATAAGTTGAGTGGGAGAGAGGTGCGTTGAATGGCTGCTCAGCTGGGATCATGTTGGTCAGGTTCAGCATGTAGCCCAATGTCCACCTGGCGTTGGTGCCCCGGATCTGCAAGAGCAAGGAAAATGTGTTGTTTATGGTCCAAGGAGATACTTTACAGGTTTCTTCCAACCTCATCCAGGTCACCACAGCTGTCATGTTGACTGCATCCTGCGCAATTTTCTAAATGAACTGAATTCATAGTCTATTGGGAATATGGTTGTGGGGAAAATACAAGCAAAAGATTAGAAGAGAGTTTGAAGTCTCACTGCCATAGTCCCAAAGTCAGAAAGGCCTTTGGTGAGTGACTGCCCACTGTACTTTTGGAACTTGGCATTCTTATTCTCCTGATTATAGGAATGTGTGGAGTGGGGAAGAGGGATGAGGGGAGGTGAGAGGAAGCAGGTAAAAGGGTGAAGGAATAATGAATGTCTCTGGCCTTTTACACTTTTGTCAAGCCAAGAACATCTGTAACAGGCCTTCTACATGATTCACTTAGGGGAAAGCTGTGGAATAATCCTAGTAAATCAACCTCACCAAGGTGGGCAGACTATGCATATGCATGGGAAGATTTCTTATTAAATGATAAAACTCACAGTGATCCTCTTATAGGAATAATTTCCAGTCACCTCAGAAATTATTGCCATGTAGGGAATCTTTGAATGCTAAATGTGGAAATGTTTTTTTATTACATGAGTTGTGCATGGCCACAGAAGAAGTATTAGGAGGTACAGATAGAAGGAAAGAAGAAAATTAAAACCATCACATGTCACCACTCAGAAATTGCTACACATTTTGTGGCATATCCTTCTAGTGCTCTCTGAGAATTTTTTAATTATAAAGAAGTGGAGTTAAATTGTACATATAATAATTTGCTGAGGGCCATTACCAAGTAGGAATGACGCATCGAAATTTCCTTGCCAAGTGTACCCCATGCTGCTTAGAGGACATTCGATGGGACATTGCATGCATGCTTTAATAAGGTGACCTTGCTCAAGGACCAAGGCGGATCCGGGTTTAGAGCTGATCAGGTTTGAGGAAGTAACCGGCTCCTTGAGTTTAAGGCGTTGCCAGTTTAAGATAATGGGTTTTAGGGAAGTTGGAGATTGAAGATTATTGCTGGGATTAGGGTGTTCCTGTTGCTTGTTCCCATTGAGTTCTCGTGAGATTAAAATGGGATTTGGAGAGAGCCTGGTGGAGTAGGTGAATTGTGCGGGAGACGGCAGAACGCGATTGCCCCTGGACCTGTGTGGAGGCGGTGTGAGAGCGGGAATAAAGAATTGCTGTTTGAACCTACAAAGGTGTGTGGTGGCTCGTGATTCTGGTGCCAAGCCGAGACCTTGGCAATAATTCATTTAACAATCCCTAGAGAACATCCTCCATGTTTATTAAGAGAGTCCTACATTGTTTCCACTTCATTGTCCCTGGCATGAACTGCCTTATATAATCACTCTTACCTTAGCCAGTCATTTCTAAATCCTAAAAATGGAGTAATTGAACACCATGATATGCCCATTTTTAAGGCTCTTGGAACACATTGTCATAACAGTACATGGACCTTCTCCCCCATACCTTTACTAATATTGGGAATTAATAATTTGTAAAACATCCACTTTCCTGTGGGGAATGGAAACCTTATGGGACTGCATGTGTCAAGGAGGCTCCAGAGGTAAAGGAGTTATCACCCAAGCTTTGGAAATACCAGATCATGCACTGGAGACTATAAATACAGTGCCTCTTATGTCACTCAAAATTTGAACTAGTTTCTTCAGAGAAACAAAATAGACTATGATAGGATGAAAGGGAGTCTGAGATATTAAAATAAGGAAAATATTTGAGTTTGAGTTAGAGGGTCCATACTGAAAAGAGTGTACTCATACTACTGTATTTGGAGCTGCTACAATTTATGCTTTGATGTTTGTTTTGCTTGAAATCACCATATTTTAAATAGGGTTAAAATGTGTTTTCCCTTAGTGGACATGGTTTTAAAACCTTTTGTAAGACTGCTCTTGATATTGTTATCAAGCTTGTTTCTCTACTCCTGATTACCTGCAGGTGGCGCTATGGCAAAGCACAGCAGTGAAGTTGTCTTAGGGCTCAGGCTCAGCGTGACTTCTAAGCCACAGCCCCATTCCCAGCCAGTCAGTTCCTTTCCTCACAGAGCTCTCAGATTGGTAAGTGTCGAAGCAACAACCAACAAGGCCTCCATTCCTTATAAGGAAACATGATCATCTTTTCCAAGTTTGTGAAAAGGGCTTTGGGGAGGGATTTTAAAGTCAGCACAACACAATCACTGTGGCTACTGAAATGATTTATATTAACCTCTCATTTTTTTGTTTTAAGACAATTAGCCACTGTTCTGTGGGCAGACAGGTATAACTGAGAATGCAGGTTGCGCTCCTTGGGGAGATGCCCATAGGTGGTTGATATTCCCAGCAGGGCTTCCCACAGTATGGCAGCATGGGTTAGGGGTGAAATGGCAGAACAGAACATCAGGCCAAAACAAATCAGGTCAACTCCCACCATTTTCAAGACCCAAGCTTCTTTAGTAGCTACCACCCAACCTCCCCAGAACCCAACACATAGCCAATTTACCTTGCCCATAAAATGAATGTTTTCCCAGGTCTTGTTTGTGAAGTGATAACCATATGTAAAGAGGGAGAGGATGTAGATACCAGAAAAGCAGTATTCACTCAGTTCCTTCTTGTCTACTTTAGGAAAGGATGTCTTTACCTAGAAATGAAGCAAAGTAAATATACTGTACAAAGGCACATATCCATGTCTTTCTTCCTTATTATTAGACCTGATGAAGCAAGGAGAAAGGACCAGCCCATGTGAGCCTAAGGCCAAGTTCTCCCAGTAGCTTTGGGATTGGTGTTGTTCTCTTTCAGTAGATGCAAGAATGTTTAGTTTAGAGTCTCCTAAGGAGGGTTTCTATTCCTCCATAGGGTCCTGTAAAATATTAATAGATGCTGCAAAAAAAATTAGTTCCTGTGATCTAGAAAGTTCAGAAAGAGTTAATTTTAGTGTATTATTCTGTCTACTAAGCTAGAGTTTTGCAGTCATATTAGCATATTAATATCTGTACAAAATATTGAATGTAAGAAATCCATTAACCTTTCTTACATTCAAGATATTGTTTAATTGGAGTGTCCTATATGCTTTTGAACAGAGGCTTTGGCTCAGAGTCTCTGTAGGTATTTAAAGGAAAAAAATTCCTAAAATCCCTCACAACTCAGGTTAGACCCTGAACTGACAGTATCAGCATCCTCTGGGATCATGTTGGTCCTCACCCTGGAACTACCAACTCAGAATCTGCATTTTAATACAATTCTCTGGTCATTTATGTGCACAATAATGTTTGAGAAACAGCGCTCTGGAACACACTTCAAGAAGCATTTTGCTAAAGACTACTGAAAGTGCCAGCATATTACCTTCTGAATATTACCTTCTCTCCTTACTTAACCTTTCTAAAAATATCTGATTCACATAAAGTCCTCACTCATCTTGTTGAGTCCTTGTTTGTTCATCCCACTTTCTACTGAAGATATTAAGAGCTGCCTGCCACTCCCTGCCCTTATCCATCTAGCCTGCTCTGCTCCTCCTCCTGCCTTAATTAGAGGACAATAGGCTAGGACATCTCTTGGTCAGCCCAGAGTTCTGTTTGTAGCTCCATTTCTTTGCCCTTAAGATGGGAATTCCCTCCAGGACACCATGAACAGAGAAAGAACTAACATTTTAAAGATATATCATGTACCCAAAACTCTGCCAAATATTTTATATGTGGTACCTCCCTGCCCTGTCTTTCCCTAAGTTTCTTGCCCTTTTTGAAAAACATATTGTCTGTAAGCCCTATCGTCTAACTGGGATGTCAAAAGATGCAGAAAGAGCATTTGATAAGATTCACTATCTCTTCATGATAAAAACTCCCAAGAAATAGGTGTAGAAGGACCCCCAGCACAATAAAGGTTATGTAAGAAAAGCCCATGGCCAACGTCATACTTAGTGGAAAAGAATTGAAAGCATTTCATCCTAAGATCTGGAGCAAGATAAGGATGTTCACTTTTAGCAATATTAGTCTAAGTAGTACTGGGGTAGGCAGATTTTTTTTTTGATAAGACCGCAAAAACTTGGACGACAAAAGTAAAAATAGACTAATAAGATTATCTCAAAGAAGCTTCTTCACAGCAAAGGAAGCAACCAGCATTAAAAAGGAAATAACAGAATGGTAGAAATTATTGACAAATTATTCATCAGACAAGGGGTTAAAATCTAGAATACACAAGGAACTCAAACAGCAGAAAGACCCAAATAATCAAACTAAAAAAAATGGGCAAATGATCTGAATCCTTAAAGGAAAGCACACAAATGGCCAACATGTATAGGAAAACAATGCTCAATTTTCTAATCAGGGAAGTGCACAACAAAACCACAATGAAATATCATTTCACAATGAAATATCACTCGAGTTTTAATGGCTAGTATCAAAAAGACACAGAATAAATACTAGTGAGGATTCAGAAGAATGGGAACTCTTATGTACTAATAGTGGGAATGTGAATTAGTACAGCTATTATGAAAAAAAGTATGGAGAGTGTTTAAAAAATTAAAAATTGAATTATTATATGATCCAGCAATATCACACCTGGGAAAATATCCACAGGAAATGAAATCGTTATATCCAAGAGATACCTTTAGTACTCCTTTTATGGTGTAGATATGAGGTGTCCCCCAAAAGCTCATGTAATTGGAGAAAGTTTAGATGTCGAATGATTGAATTATGAGAGTTTTAGCTTAATCAGTGCATTGGTCACTGATAGGAATTAACTGGGCGGTAACTGTAGGCAGGTGAAGAGCAGCTGGAGGAGGTGGGTCACTGGGCATAGCTTTGGAGTTTATATGCTGTTTGTGGTGAGTGGAGCTCTCTCTGCTTCTTGTGCCATGTCCTGACCTACTTTCCTCTCCCATGCTCTTGTGCCATGATGTTCTGCTTTGCTTTAGAGATTGAGTCAGATCACCCTGGATGGAACCTCTAAAACCAAGAGCCCCCAAATAAAATTTTTCTCCTACATGTTGTTCTTGTCAGGTCTTTTGGTCACAGCAACAGAAATGCTGACTAAAAACAGAAATTGGTACTGAGAATTGAGGTCATTACTGTGAATATCCTGATCATTTGGTTCAGGAGATTTGGGAACTCTTTGGAATTTGTGGCAGGAATTTTGAAAAGTTTAGAGGTTCAAGCTGGAAAACTTTTAGTTGCAAGTGGACCTTGATGGCTGATTCTGGTGGAGTTCAGAAGACCTAAATGCAAATGGACAGTAAAGACTGAGCTCATGCGATTGCAGAGGAGAAGTAGAACTTTATTGGAAATTGGACTAGAGGTCATTCATGTTACATTGTGGCAAAGATGTTGTCAAATTTTGCCCATGTGCTGAGACTTTCCTGAGACTGAATTTAAAGATGAAGAACTTATGACTCTGGTAGAGGAAATCTCAAAGTAGCACAGCATTCAGGCAGTATGGCATGGATATTGCTAGGGACTTTTAGCCAAGTTTACCATGATACTCAGGAGCAGAAAGCAGAGAAGGAAGATTTGAAAACTTGCAGTTTGGCAAGAAAAATGAGAATTAAACACTGGCTAAGGAAGGTGTGGTTGTTATAGTTATTATAGCCAATAAAGTAATGGTGACTATTTTAACCAGAGACAATAGAGAAGATGGCTTTAGGGCACTTCAGAAAATGGCAAGACCACACCCATCTCAGGATCAAGGATGTAAAATTAAAAATGCCTTTGAGAAGAGAATATGAGGCTCCTGTTTGAACAGGGGCACCTAGGAAGATGTTTCACTATATTCAGCAATGCAGATACACAGAGGTTGCTGCAGGAAGCTTGGCTACTGTTCAGATTGTGGCTGACCTGGGCATCCACCAAATGGTGCCAGTTTTGCAGAACTGCAGGATGCTGGAGTTAGAGGTCTTGGAGACTTTCACTGAGATTTCAAAGGATAGCTTTGGAGACTAGAGAAGTATAGCAGAGTCAGATTCCCTATGGGCAGTCTCTGAAAGGGCAATGCCTGAAGATATGAGATGGAAGCCAAAGCTTCATTGCAGATCCCCAAGATTGAGAGATACCAGTAACCTGGGAAGTCTGCCAATGAAAACTATAGGAATTGGGTAAAATCCAAGAGAAAGGCCGCTTGGACTTCAACCAGCAAGGCCAAAGGGGTAGAGGTACACAATCCCTTTGGAGAGAACATCATCATTCAATGTGCCTCATGGGGGACATGAAGCTCAAAGGCCTTGTTTGCCCAGCTGGATTTTGGTCTTGCTTTGGTCCCATTCCTTCATTCAATGTGCTGATTTCTCCCTGTGTAATGGAAATGATTACTCTGCCTTTATATATTAGATATATGTAACTTGCTTTGAATTTTTACAGGGGACAGCCTCTTAAGAGTTTGCCTTAGTCTTAGAGGAGACTTTGGACATGGATTTTTGGACAAAGCTGGAACTATTAAGACTATGGGGACTCTCAGAATTGGACTAAATATATTTCATATTATCATATGGTCATGAGCTTTTAGGGGCAAAATGTTGTGGTTTAGATATGGTGTCCCCCGGCTATTTAAGCTCACGTGTGAGACAATGCAAAAAAGTTTAGAGGTAAAATGATTGGGTTATGACAGTTTAACCTATTCAGTGCCTTAATCCACTTGAATTGATTAATGGGATGTTAACTCTAGGCAGATGGGATGTGGCTGAGGAGGTAGCTCACTGGGGTGTGCCCTTGGTGGATGTATTTTATCCCTGGTGAACAGAACATGTTCTCTCTGCTTCCTGTTGGTCGCATCTTCAGATGCTATCCCCCAACTCTGTCTTCTGCCATGATGTTCTGTCTTGTCTTAGACCCAGAGTAGTGCAGCTGGCTGTTTTTAGACTGCAATCTCTGAAACTGTGAGCCCGAAATAAACTTTTCTTCCTCTACATTGTTCTTATCAGGCCTTTTGGTTTTCCCTGACTAAAATAACTCTCATGTTTCTTGCAGGACTATGCATGATAGCCAGGTTATGGAGTCAGCTGATGAATGGATGAAGAAAATATGGTATGTATGTATGCGTACACAGACACACACACACACACACACACACACACACACACTGGAATATTACTCAGCTGAAAATGAATGAAATCCTATCACAGCAACATGTATGAAATTTGAAGACATTATGTAAAGTGAAATAAGCCAGGCAAAGAAAAACAAATATCACATGTTCTTACTCATTTCTGAGAATTAAAAAAAAACAATCACATAGAGAAACAGAATAATAGTGGTCACTGGAGACTGGGAATTGTTGGGGTAGGGTAGACAGAGCTTAGATTAGGGACTTCAAAACAGACAGGAGCAATTAGTCTGCTGTTCCATAGCTAGTAGGGTAACTACTTTATATTAATGTATGATACATTTCAAAATCCCTAGAAAGAAAGAACATAAAGTTTTCCAATACATAGAAATCATTAATATTTGAGGAGATGGAAATTCTTGTTACCCTGATTTTATCATTATACATTATATACATGTATCATATTATCATACTGTAACATATAAATATGTACAAATATTATGTGTCAATAAAAAATTCCTCATGCTTAGCTAGGTATTCTCATACGAGTTAAATAGGAATCTCTGGTAGTGGAACCTGGCATCAGTTAACAAAAAAAACATAGTGAGATACCACCTTACTTTTCTTGGAATGACTATTATTTAAAAAAAAAAAAGGACTGAAATGTAGTTCAGGAATAGAGTGCTTGCCAGGCACTGTTGGGGATATAAATTTGTCACAGAAATTATGAAAAACAGTATAGAGATTCCTCAAAAAAATTAAAAATAGAAGTACTATCTGGTCCAGCAATTCCACTACTAAATGTATACCCAAAGAAAATGAAATCAGTATGTCAAAAGAGACATCTTCACTCCTAGTGTACTATCTATAGATAGAATTTTTCTCCTTTATTTTCCTTGTTTTTTTTTTCTTCCCTTTTTTGATTTTTTTCTTTTTAGATATACATGACAGTGTATTATATTATACATAGATGGAGTAAGACTTATTCTAATTAGAATTCCATTCTCGTGGTTGTACGTGATGTGGAGTTTCACTGGTGGTGTATTCATATATGAACATAGGAAAGTTATGTCCTATTCATTCTACTGTCTTTCCTATTCTCACCACCCTCCCTTCCCTTCATTACCCTTTGTCTAATCCACTGAGCTTTTATTCTTCCCCTCCCCACTTGTTGTGTGTTTGCACCTGCATATCAAAGAGAACATTCTGCCTTTGTTCTGGCTTATTTCGATTAAAATGACAGTCTCCAGTTCCATCCATTTATGGCAAATGTAGTAATTTCATTCTTCTTTATGGCTGAGCAATATTCTGTTGTGTGTATATACCACATTTTCTTTATCCATTCATCTGTTTAAGGGCATGTCAGTTGGTTCTATAGCTTAGCTATTGTGAATTAAGCTGTATAAACATTGATGTGGCTGCATCACTGTAATATGCTGATTTTAAGGGTATATGCCAAGGAGTGAGATAACTGGGTCAAATGGTGATTTCATTCCAAGTTTTCTAAGGAATCTCTACACTGCTTTCCAGAGTGGTTGCACAAATTTGTATATTTCCCCCACATCTTCATCAACATGTATTATTAATTTTATTCCTGATAATTGCCATTCTGGCTGAAGTGAGATGGAATCTCAGTGTAATTTTAACATCTGCATTTCTCTAATTGCTAGAGATGTTGAACATTTTTTTCATATACCTATTCATATTTATTCTTTTGTGAAGTATCTGTCTGTCCAGTTCCTTTGCCCATTTATTGATTGGGATATTCATTTTTCTGGCGTTCAGTTTTTGAGTTATTTGTATATGATGGAGATTAATGCTCTATCTGAGGTGCCAGTGGTAAATATTTTCTCCCATTCTGTGGGCTCTCTCTTCATTATTTTGTTTTGTTTTTGTTTTTTTGTTTTGATGTGAAGAAGCTTTTCAGTTTGATACCATCCCATTTATTGACTCTTGGTTTTACTTCTTGCTTTAGGAGTCTTGTTGAGGAATTTGGTTCCTAAGGTGACATGATGGTTTACTCCCAAAGTTTATTGCAGTCTTATTCACCTTAACCTTGATAGGGGCTCACTGTAAGTATCCATCGAGAGATGAGTGGATAAAGACAATGTGATACACACACACACACATACACACACACACACACACACACAATAGAATACTAGTTTTGCCATTAAAAAAAAACATGAAAATCTGTCATCTGGAACACTATGGATGAATCTGGAGGAGATTATGTTGAGTTAAATAAACCAAAAACAAAAAGACAAATACTGTATGATCTCAATCATATGTGGAATATAGAAAAGTTGATCCCACTGAGTTGAGCAAGGAAGGGATTGGGGTAAGGGAATGAAGTATACCAGGAGAGATAGGAAGAGGTTATTACAATTAGGAGGAATAAGTGCTGGTGTTCCGTTGTACATAGGGTGACTATAGTTCAGAATAATATAGTATATATTTCATAAAAGCTAGAAAGAGGATTTTGAATGTTTTCATCCCAACAAGTGATAAATGTTTAAGGGGAAAGATGCAATCCCTATCCTGATCTGATCAACAATGTATACATATGTCAAAATATCACATTGTACTGCATAAAATGTATTGTTACTATGTACCAATAAAAAAAACTTTATTTTTTTAAGTTGTTGATGGACCTTTATTTTATTTATTTGTATATGGTGCTGAGAATCAAACCCAATGCCTCATGCATGCTAAGCAAGCACTGTGTCACTGAGCCACAACCCCAGCCCCCCCAAAATAAAACTTGATAATAAAATTTAAAAACAAGATAAAGACTTCTATGGGCCTTATGCAATAGCCTTTCCTTTCCTGTGAAAAGGACAGCTGTATCTTATTCTATCTTCTTCTAAGTTTGAACAGAGATGCCAGAGCAGCCACCTGTGTCCATGAGGACATGACATGAGAGAGAGATGAACTGCTAACCCCATGCCTGCAGCTGCTTGCTGCCAGACTTCACAGTAGGTGAGAAACACAAGATCTTACCTATGACATTGTATGTCAAGTTATCAAGGTATGTTGGTAAATTCATTCCTGAGCCCACCATCTGGGCTTATTTGACACATTTTCTAGATCTTGGTCAGGGCAGCACGAGGTCAGGAGCAGACTCACATCCTCCAACCTGCCAGGGGCACAGTGCAACTGTGACGGCTGCAGTCTCTAGGTACTTACGTCATTCCAAGGCTGAGAGCAGAAGTTTCCTATTCTCCTAATTGCCTCTTCCTGAGAGACCTTTTCTGATGTCAAGTTAAAGAAATCCATCACAAAATAGAAAATTGAAAATGCCTATAAGAGAAAATTGCAGTTTTAGGCTGTGTCCAACACATGTGAACACTGACTTGATCCCTGTGGGAGCTCATTTTTGGTTCAGAGAAAAGCAAAGATGCCATTTACAGGGCATTCCTGTTGCAAACAAGCCATATGCTTCAATTCCACTAAAATAATGGCAGTTTTTTAAGATGCATTATTTGTAACAAATCTGTATTCATATTTACTATTTGTCTAATTTAATAGAAATTAGTGTATGTATATGAGATATAGTCAAGATGTTTTGTTTGTTTGTTTGATATTTCCTTCATTTCTGAAGCAGTCTACTAATGTTTCAGTAAAGTTCACATTCCACTTTTACCAGAATTCCAAAGGGGGGAAATCTCAGAAAGTTAGCACAAAATAAAATTTGTGTATAAATTAACCAAGGAGGCTTTGTTAATAAAAATCTTAAATACTTATTGTAAAAAAGTTACACATGGGAGCTGGACCGAAGGGGAGATCAGTGCCCGCATTCCCCATGTTATTCAGTGGTCAACTGTGTGTGTGTGTGTGTTTGTGTGCGCGTGCACGTGCAAATACATTTCAAATGTTCTTTATTTCCAGGTCCCCATTGAATCTGTTTCTGTCCTTTCTTGTTTATATAAATGACACCATCTGATCTCAAAAGCCATTTCCCCAATTACCTCCAAAGTAATTCCCAGAGATGTTCCATCTTGTTGGTGTTTCTGTTTTGCCTGTCACATTGGATTCAACCTAGTGACAAGGGCCACAGTGTAGGCAGACACAGCACTAATAGTTTTTAATACTATATTTACAGACTAAGAATTAGATCATCAGGGACACTTGAAATGGTCCACAAACTCGCCTCCCAACAAATGCTCTGCGGTTTGAGAACACACAGGATAACTATTCAGGAAATAATGGAAATGCAACTGGATTTGGTGTTTCAAAAAGTTATGCTTCAAGTTCCTGGTCTTGAGAATGGGAATTTCTTCTTTTTAAATTATTTTTATCACTCCATAATAGTTATATGTAACATTAGGATTCATTTTCACACTTTATACATGCAGGGAAGATGATTTGTTCCAAATTAATCCTCAGAACTTGTAAAGAACTTCAGTGTGGCGAGAGGACTGCTAGGAGAAAGAGCTAAGCTCTGTCAGCGCCTCCCTGATGCTAGGGCCCACTTGACATCTGCTGCAGTGGTGTGCTGAACTGACTCTGACACGTAAGAGCTGAACATGAAAACTTCAGGATTTTTGTGATGTAGTTCATGTCAGTTTGGGAGGCTGAAATAGACTGGGGTGGGAATATTTACACTATGGAAATTGGTAAATGCCTCAAATCAGCTCCTCATCCCCAGTAACCACTTGTCCAGCATATCCATTGCTCATAACCAACTGCCAATTAAACAGGGAATATAGTTCCTAATTTTTAGAGAAAAAACAAGCAAAATATTTACAAAGAGGACCGCTGCCCCCCGCCAAAAAAAAAATATCTGAAATGGAAAAAATTTTCCAAAACACAGGTAAGTATCAGACAGTGACCCTGAGGGATGTATCCAGAGAAGAAAGAGGCTATTCAGAGAGAGACAATGAGCTAATCTAAGGGGGCTACCAAATTAAAGTTTAGAAGTCAGAACAATTTCAAGAGACCAAGAAAACAAACAGAAAGGCCGCTAGGGGGAGCTCAAGGATCCACCACCTTTTCCAGCCATTACCTCTCCCTATCTGGGTTGCAGGAATCACATTAAGAGGCAAAAAAATCCATTCCTTCAAGGAGGAAGGGTTTGCTCTATGTTGAAGGCAGGAATTAAGCCATGTTTCCCAGGAGGCAAAGCGTTCAGAGACACTAAAATGTCAACTCCTTAAAGAGGGCATGTTCCTTTTCCTTTGCACTTACTTCCTAGCAGTGACTGGAGTTAAACAGGCCCTTGGCTGTCTCCAGCTTCCTCACCACTTGCCTTCCTCTTGTGGTACCCTCCTTCCTCCTCCAGAAGTTTGATTCAAGGCAAGAGAGGACCCTGGCCCAAGAAATCCCATGGTGGGCAACCAATGCCAGCTCAGTTACAGAATATTCAAATGAGGTTCTGGTTTGTTCTGAACTGGGGGTTGGAGCCAGCTAATAACCAAAGCTATTGGTCTGCCAGTGGTTTTCTAGTGATGTCCTTTCCTCAGGATCCTTGAGGAGAGGGAAGCTGTGGTTGGGCCATGATTAAAGTAAGCCTGGATCCATGGCACTACCTCCTGCTGCTTTCCCAGAGACCAAAGGAATGAGGAGCTCAAAAGATTCCCAAAAAACCAAGACTTAAGTCAGGTCTGGGTACCATCAGTCCTGTGCTGTCTCCAGGGAGCTCTTTCTGTGACACTTGCTGGAATCCTCAAGGGGAAGTGACCCCCCCATTCTCACATGTTGATCTGTTTTGTGAAAGGGAGAAAGAGTAGTCAAGACAGATAAAAGCCCTTGTTTCTTTGGATGCTGCCTCAAATGAATATAAATAGTGTTTGCTCCATAACTGGCACTTAATAAATGGTAATTAATTTTGCAATATACTCCTAAACTGTTAATGCAGTAACACTTGATCTCCAGAAACATGACATGTAATTTGAATAATGAGTAGATCAGGGGCATCTCTTCTGCTTCTGTTCACTTTCTTCATCTTCTTCTGGAACAATTAGGAAAAGAAGGATTTTGGAATTAAATAGTTTCCCACTCTCACATAATGGCAGAGGGACATATACAAGAGGAACCTCTTAACGTCAATCCTGCATTGGTGTTGATGTGGTGATGTGATGCTTGGAGCACTAGTTGCCATCTTAGCACTACAAGAAGGTCAAGAAAATGATGAAGACACTGATCCCATGTCTCTACATTGTTGAGCCAAAAAACTAACCTTGATTTATTTCAGGACATTATGATGTGAGATTAAAAGAAATCCTATTATTTAACCTCTCTATAGACACATATTCTATATAACCTTCAACCAAAATCATTCTAACCAATAAAACTTATCATTTCACAAACTTACCCCAAAACTTCCTTGGAATGGTGGCAAGAAAACCCCATTGAAGGCACACTGGGAATAAGGGCAGTAACTGGTGTTGAAGAGCTCAAGAATCCTTTGCTGGCATTGTTCATAGTTTCCAGTACCATGGATTTGAAATGCATTAAATGGCAGATTCTTCTTAAATCTCCTGGTACAAGGGGTCTCGTAAAGCACTTTTACTGTCACTATTTCCTCATACCCAGGATGAAAGCATGGGTCCCTGAGGACTCCATCACTCAACATCTGAATGGAAAAAAAATCTTGTGAATGTTGGGGTACAAAAGCCACAATCCTACTTCATTAATTGTGTAGGCATAGTACAACATGGCAGCACATAGAATTGGCATTATTATGCCCCTCCCTGACTTTTCCATGCTTGGAAATAGGTTTAAAAAACAGTCTCTACAACAGGCACCAAAAGTGGTACCAGATATTAATGTACTGAGCTATTTATTTACAAGATGTTGATATAGTTAAAGCTGGACCCACTAGTACGATGAGTTGGGAATGTCCCTGAGTTCCTAGGGCTAAATCGCATAAAACAGGAGCAAGGAAAATTCTCAAGACTCTCAAAAACGGGAGGCTGAGGCGCCTCACCTCCCCAAGCAGAGAATCAGAAAGTCCAAGAGGAGGAACATGTGTTAGGTCTTTTAAACCAATAGAATCCAGTGATTTTTAACCCTTAACCCCACAGAGAAGAAATGAGGTGGCTATAGATAAGAAATTTAGTGGAATTCTGAGGATTAGTGGGCCATTCTCAGTGGCATCTGCTCCACGATGGTCTTCTTACTAATAGTGGTTTTGAGAGTCAGAGAGGGGGAGATGAGAGAACTAGTTGTCCTTCCAGCACAGACAGAGACCAGCTGGATATGACAACCTGGCTCTGTGTTTATTTGTCAGGATGTGCCTGATACTCTAATGATATGGAGTGTTGTCCGGAGCTGCCCTGGATGCAGACACCTTTAAGTTCTGATGCACCAGGTTCTACCAATTATTGCTTTTAGTCTGGCACAGTAGTGCCAGGCTGCAGTAACTTGGGCATTATCCCAGCTCAGATAACAAGGCATGGCTCCAGATGTGGGTGTCACGCTGATGGGTTGAGATACACTCACCTATTCCTTTGTAATCCTACCCCTTTGCCCTTTAGGGGATAAAATACTCCATTGGAACAGCCTCCCCCAATAAAACCCAGATTCAAGGCATGCTCTCCCTCTTTTTCTTGCCTGACTTGCCTCCTTTGTAGGAGCTGGGTCAGAGGACCCATCGCAGAACCCAAAGAAAAAGGTATTTCTCTATCTCTGTGTTGACTATTTCATGCCAGCCCAATTCACCTGGAGTGACCCTGATGGTTTAATTGTATGTTGTAACAGAGTGTTTAACTTTTCTTGCCTTCAAAAATGCAAAAAACCATACAGGAATAGATTTAAAATGTTGATTAATAAATTCTGTGTTTTTCCTGAAATGTTTTTTTTTTTTTCTCTTCCTCTCCAGGTCATTCCAAACAACCCTGTTTTCTGAACTTTGTAGAAAAGGGAAATAAAAAATGGCATAGAAGACCATTTGCTTATAAATTGCAACAACTTACCCCTGAATGATACTCTAGCATGCAGCTTTCATTACCAACCCTTCAGGGGTGAGAAATTAATTGCTAAGGGGAAAAAAAATGTGTGGTTTCCTTGGAGATAGTGCAGTAAACAAACACAGGAGGGGATGTCTGGATGGAAGAATTCATAGGGGTCCACCAGGTGTAGCTTGGTATCCTGCCTGAAAGGGTTTGGGAAGTACAATAACCAACTTCAGACCAATTACAGAATTAGAAAGAGAAAATAACAGGATGTGAGGGCTGAAGGATCAGATGTGGAAAGGGCAGGTCTGAATTCAGTTACACTTGCCTGAATGTCCTTGGCCAGTTTCTGCCAGAGTGCTTGATCCTTCCCATAGCACAAGAAGCTATGTGTGTATACATAGTAGTCCTTGCCATACAGGCGAAATTGCAGAGAGTTTTCTGGGGACTCCGTAGTGTGGTTTTCAGGCACAAAAGTAATTTGTGTAGAGTCTGATCTAAGATTCAAAACTCCAATATTTTTCTCGTGATTGATTCCTTCAAAGAACTGATTGTGCCATTTTGATTTCTGAAAAAGAGGACAGTCACCAGTACTAAAGGTCTCTGGACAGTCAGCTTTTCACCATGTTTCTTAGAGTCAGGGATTCCTAAAGCAGAGAAGCAGGGGCAGAAAGGTGAGGCAAAGGGCACTGAGGTTCCTGAGTCTGCATTAGATCCACAGCAAAAGGAGAGAGGCTTTGACATAGTACACACTGCTGTGACACAGAAGCATTGTAACAAGTGCTACAAACAAGGGGTCTAGGACCAGGCATACTCAAGTTCATCTCCCACCTTAGTCAGTAATTACCGTGTGACCTTCAGCACAATCATTACCCTCATTAGGCATCACCACCCACCTCTAAAATGGCAGAGTCCTCTTAAATTTCGTGGTGCAAGGAGTCTTGTAAAGACCTCAGACTGTCGTTTGAGGATGAATTCTCTCTGCTCAGGTAAGTGCTAGCACAGCACACAGCAATCAGCCTAGGCAAGTACTAACTGCTCTTACTTTTAATGATAGAGTTTCTTTTCCTCTGTCTACCAGAGATGAAGACTTCCCTAAGGAAGTTCTTGACAGGCAGCTATTCCTCCAGTAATTCTTACAAACATGGGAATAAATTCATGGCACTCTTTCATCCATCACTCACTCTGGATGAAATATTGCCTGAGAGAGCAAGGTCATGGACCCCCAGGGAGCCACTTCCATGGGTGGTGTGAGGTGATCACCTGAACGAAATGGCCAAGCAGATAGTTGATAGTAATCCAGTTATAGGCACCTTCCTCTTGGCCAGTGATGATCTTGGCACCATGGAAGTTAAAGGGGTAGTTGTTGAGGTTCCTTATCACTGCAGCCATGACCTTGCCAGCCATTCGATCACTTGCCATCCTACACCAAAGAAGAGGTGGCGTTACCATCTTGGTCTTAATAATTACACCTACTTATTCCAGCTATGTTTTCCACATAATTCTGCAAAGAAACAAACCAAATATGCTGGAATAAATGGAGACATAGGGATCCCCAAACATGGCTCACAGTGGAACCCTCCTTTGGGATGAGGCTGAGCTAATCTTTTTGTCCCCACTTACTTAATTCAAATCTCTCCAATCCTTGAGTAGGTTAGTCTTCCTAAAATAACATTTTTGCTCTTTTGCTTCCTGGATCAAAAAATCAAATGCTCTAGAAAGACTGTGGTGGTGGTAGTTGGGTATTTTGTCCATGCCTAGAGCTGATGTTTGTGATATTAGCAATTATGGTGAGTCTTAGTTGGTTACACAAGTTAGTCTGTGCTTGAGGTTTTCAATTTGGACTGTGGTAGAAAGCAGGTGGCAAGTCACCTGGGACATAGCCAACTTCTACTGCTTCCAAACTGGGAAATACCTTCCTCATACTATCACCAGTTCTTGGGTCCATTTGAGAACTTGAGACCTAAGCAAGGAGTTTTCCAGGGTTGTCGTAATGAAGATGAGGTGCACCGGTTTCCAAGAGCTAGGCTAAGCAACATGAGAGCCTCCTGGTGAGAGGATGTACCTTCCTACTCTAACCTCTCATCTGAATGCCTCCCATACCCACTACCTGCCTCCTTTACCCTTGCTTCCCTCCACTGCAATCTGTCTTCTCTACCAGCGTCACCAATTGTGTAACTTTTTAAAGTGAGTTTCCACTGTATTCAAGATAAACTCTAAATTTCATGTGGTCCACAAGGCCTTCTCAGAATCCCACTCATAACTCTGGCTCTGTCCCTTACCAGGCAGACTTGGGACCTTGGGTGTTACTCAACATTTGTGAGCCACAGCTTCCTTATCTGGTTAGTAACAGTTATTCATATCCTCTACTTCATACTGTTGTTTTGATGATTAAATTAAACAATGTGAATCATGAATTTAGTATTCTTTTAAGAATACAGCAAGTGCTCAATAAATATTAGCTTCTACTATTATTATTTTACAACATGCACCCTGTCTCCTGTCTTTGCAGAGCTACTAACAAGACCTGTGAATATGCCCTATTGTCCCACCACTGCACATCCTAGAACAAACTCCACACCAACTGCATCAAGTCAGCGACTTTGCCCTGCCTCTTCATTGCTGTATCACAGCTTTTAAAATGTGCCTGACACACTATAGGTGTTGAATAACAGTGGGTTACTGAACATGTGCTATCACTTGGTCTATAACACCCTTCCCTCACCCGACAAATGCTCTTTTGTGACTCAGCTCATATATCTCCTCCTTGTACAAGTCTTTCTGAGGGCCTTTCATCCTGAGCAGGACAAATGCTCCCACAGGAGTCTGAGCATTCCTCTGTAAAAGAAGTGATCACACTGGGTGGAACTATTTCCTTGGGGCTGAGTCACCTTCATCCATGTTCTGGACAAAGTAGGCACTCATGAGTGATGAATGAACAAGTAAACAAATAAGGCAACTAGGTGACCAAGTGTTGACCAATAAAGATGTGCTTGTTATAAATGTCTTGGGACATCTGTGGGTCTCCTCTAGTCTTCCTACACCCAGATATTGATTGACTAAATCTGTGTCTCCAAATCTCAGAGCACATAGGCTCAATTTTTCTCTCTGTGTGTCTCTTCCCGCTTGAGTTTACTATGGGCAGATGGGCAAGGCTTTTTTTTGACAAGTGGTCTCTTTAATTTCCCCCAGGATGACCTCATACATCTTCTCTCAGCATCCTTAGTAGCTCAGATTTCAGGCACATACCACATGGCTGATGCAAAGCTTCTTTACATACTCAAAATCTTAATATATATATACTATGCTTTGGGAAGTTTTACTCACTTATTGAAATTTTCTTTCTTAGGTGTGGACTTTAGGATGTGTAGCATTTGGAGTGCAGAAGTGTGGTTATCTCTTATAATTTCAGGGGCTCTGGTGCTGCCTCTCTGAACTCCACATCCTACTATACCTGAGCAACTGCATGCCTGCGCTGGCTCCCATGTAAACAGGTGTCTCTTGGTGCTTGGACATTGGAATCATTTTCCTGGCCTTCTCCATGCATTGTGTCAGCCTTATAGTTATATCATTTGGTCTTCTATAATATGCTTCGATTCCAGCACCTAGGGAAGGATATGGAAGGTGATAACCTTTTTTTAAAAAAGGTATAGGACACACCTTGACAATATCAGAGCAAATTATGTTGCTGCTGAGAAGATACAAGAAAAAAATCAGTTTTCTGATGTGTTATATATTAAGTTGCTATACGTAGAGACTAATTCACCGCATCTAGAATTGTTATGATTTAATTTTCAAATCTGGCAGTGAGTCCATCTGGTGTTTGATAATTTTGCCACTGGATGGCACAATTTCATGTAATTGAATAACATTGTCTCAGATTTTGGCGTGGATTTTAGAGTGCTTCTTTATTTGATATTTCTATATTTTTCTGCCACAAAGTTATAATTAGCAACCTTAGTTCCAAGAATAAATAAAAATGACATTTATAACAAAAATTAAAATAAGCGCAAGATATACTTGCTTCTAATGGAAAGGTAGAAGCTGCTATTGCATGCAGTCATGGGCAGTGCCAAAGATTTCTGAGTGGTTTTTTTTTTTCTTTCATTAGCAAAAACAGGAATAGAATCCCGTCTCTTTAGTGACTTTCCCACTTCAAAACTTCAATAAGTTAAGTAGATAATTCACAGGTTTTTAAACAGCCCATTTATTTAACAATAATGAGAAAATCAGCTCTAAGTTACCAGCTATTTGGATTTGGAAAACCAGAACATAGTGCCCCCCACTCTCTCCCCTCCCTCTCTCTCTTCTCTCTCCCCTTTGGAGAGGGGAAATTACTGAATTTATTAGGCCGTAGAACACAGACATCTATTAGATTTTAAAAACAAAGTTTGTAAAAATGAAAGGCAATGAATTCAAAGCCAGCAAAATGAGAAATATGGACATTAACAAATGCAAAGTATGGGCTGGGGCTGTAGCTAAGTAGTAGAGCACTTGCCTCTCACGTGTGAGGCACTAGGTTCGATCCTCTACACCACATAAAAATACATAAATAAAGATATTATGTCCATCTACAACAACAACGACAAAAAATATTTAAAACATCCTAGGACATCCAGCCACTGACTATTATGATTTCCTCTCCTGGAAACATCTCCTATGGGAGATGAACAGCTCCATTGCTTACTAGTTCAAGGTAATTTTAAACAAGTGGTATGTGATCTCTCTCAATCTCGGTGCCCTAATTTTTTAAAAATGGGAAATAATACCTATCTCCATGGGAGACTATAGGATGAAATGAAAGTACACTTTTAGTTCTTGGTCAGTGCAAGACATACAGAAAGAAGTGTTCTGTTGGTGGGAACTGCTATTACTCAATTATTTCTATCGTGTGTGTGTGTGTGTGTGTGTGTGTTGCTGGGTCCTTGTGCATTCTAAACATGGCACTCTATCACTGAGCTACACCATCAACCCCTCAATTATTTATAGATTTGCTTATTCTTCAAGGGCTTGATCATTAAGGATTTTGATATTTTTATAATCACAAAAAGTGACAGTAGCAGCTCCACGGTGTTCTTCTTCCAGTGTCCTGTATTTGGTTCTCCTTTTCCTCTTCTGCTCTGCCTGCATAGACTCTCATGTTCCCACATTCCACCCTTCCCTTTTCTTCACCTTACCGGACACTTTGCATTCTTCTATCTGTTGCACTATCCCTGTGTCGTTCTCCTTTTCAGATGCCCAGCTAAAGATGTACAAACTTGTGTAAGAAGAGCCTGCATCCAGCACAATTCCATACTGAAGGCAAAACAAGACAAAAACTTATCAGAATCACATCATTCTTCTCCATATTCAGCTTGCAACAGGAATGAGACAAGGATAGGGTTTTCAAAACCACAAGGAGAAAGCATTTTGACTTGAGAGGAACACTGGGTCAGGTTGGAGGGCTAGAGTTACCGAGACACCTGTTATGGTTTGGATGTGAGGTGTCTCCCAAAAGCACACGTGTGAGACAAACACAAGAAGGTTCGGAGGAGAAATGATTGGGTTATAAGAGTATTAACCCAATCAGTGAATTAATCCCCTCGGGGGGATTAACTGAGTGGTAACTGAAGTGGTAGGGTGTGGCTAGAGGAAGTGGGAATCAGGGCCAGGTTTCACCAAGGGTAGAACCTGAGAGGAAATATTAGTTAGAAACTTCCTAGGTCATTCTAAGGTACAGCCAGAATTCAAATCCACATGCTAAAGTACCTGAGACATTATGGAATGAATAGAAAGCAAGTGCTGTAGTAGTTGCCAGACTTGTCTACACACTGAAACCACCTAAGAGCTGAACAGACCATGATGCCTGTGCCTGCACCCCCCTCCCCACCCCCAGATACTGTGATCTAATGGGTCTGGTATTTGGCCTGGGCTAGGGATTCTTTATGAGATCCTTTGTAATTCTATTGTGCAGGAAAGTTTGGGAATCACTGTTAATACATTAAAGGCTTCACTCCAATAATCAGTACATTCTTCTAATTTTAATTCAGTGAACATAGAATTTGTTTCAAAGAGAGGCATAGAAAATACTAAATATACTTGCTTTTTAAGTATGTCATCAACTATAAAATTGGACTCAATACATTTTAAAAGATTCATGCTTAAACTTCATGAAGTGGGAGATTAAAGGAAGAAAGACTATGGGGGGAGGAGGAAAAAAGACAACTTAAAGAAAAAACTAGATGGTCAAAGGAGAGAGGGAGCAGAACAAAACCACACACTGCATTTCAGGAGTGCATTAAATGTGCCAGGCAGATGTTGTATGAAGCACAATAGTTCTGTAAAATAGATGCTATTTTTATTTCCTCTATAGAGGTGAGAAGCTAGAGTAAAAAATGTTAAGTAATTTACAAAGCCAATTGGTGATAGAGCTTGCATTTGAATCAAAGTCAGACTCAAGACTCTATGCTTATGGCCTTATACATGGAAGGATAAGCAAGGGATGGAGAATACTTTTCAAACTGATACTCCCTTTTAAGTAAACTTAACTATAAAGATGACACAAATCTTAGATGTGTATCTCTGAAATTCTGCACATGTGCACATCTGAATAATCATCACCAAATAGAAGTCTAGCAGCAGAGGAATCTGTCCAGCTTCAAGATACAGAATATCAGGGTACAGAACATTTTCTAGCCACCCAGTAGGATTCCTGATACCCTTTCTCAGTCATTTTTGCCTCAAGGGTAACCACTGTCTTGATTTCCATCACCATTGATAAGTTCTGCCTGTTTTTGAGCTGCAATCAGCAGGACTCACATAGTGTGCTCCTCCTTTCTGTGTAACTTTACTCTAGCCTGTGTCTGTAAGGTACATTCGAACTGTGTGTATCAGTACTTCTTCCTTTTCCATTGTTGCAGAATATTTCATTATATGTACATACAATACATTTATCCATTTGACTGTTGATGGATGTTGGGGTTGTTTCTCATTGGGGGATGTTGGCAGTATAGCTGCCAGGGACATTCTAGCACATTGCATTTTGTGGAAATAAGCTCTCATATTCTTTAGTATCTACCCAGGAGTAGACTGCCAAATGCCCATTTTGATCACTTTGTACTCACTTTGGTTATATCCCTGAGCTGAATCGGGAGCAAAAAATGTCATGGAGATTAATGACATCTGCCATGGGCTTGTGATGATAATATGGTGGCACATGCACTTTCTATGATCCCTATCCTAGAGAGAAACATGGAGGGAAGTATATGGAGAAGCAAAAGGAAGAGAAGCAAAGGAGGCATTTCTGAAATGTGAGCCAACCCTTGTCACACTTTGCTGCTTATTTCACTGAGGACCTCAAAGTGTGGTCTGCCATTTGAAAGCATTTAATTTAGCTCTCACCCCACCCTGCCACTGCCATCCTCACTTTGTCTTATCAAGTAGTAAGACTTAAAAACCTCCAGGGAGAAACTAGGACAAGAATGAGACCTCCCCGGACCACTAGGAATAGCTAAAGGTAGGGCCTCTTGAGTGACCAACTTCAATGCACTTCACTACAGACCAGGAAGCAGTACAGGACCCTTGAGCCTGTCAATCTTCACAGTGTTCCCTGCCTTCTCGTGCACCACAGGGAGCCCCTCTAGGCACTAGCATTTTGCCCTCAGACAGAAAATGAATTATAGACATACTTGGTTTGGGCAAGGCAAGCAAGCAGGCTGGACAGACTGCCCTGCAGCTAAGCTTGTTGTCAAAGGAATCCCAGAAATGGCTTTAACAGGCTTTGGGGGAGAAAGGGGCACTGATTGACTCAGGTACAGGGCCTCTGGAACCTTGGGAAACTTCCCAGGGTGCAGAAGGAGGCTCCAGGGGTTACACAGTAGAAAATTCTGTTGTTTCCTATCTGGGTTCCTGAATTCTTCCTGTCAAAAATTTTTCCAACCACAAGGGCACATGATAAAAGGTATTGAGGCAGCAACAGCAAGCCACTTTTATCTGGCATCTGGATAGACACGAGAGCCAAGTTCTACTAGAGCCAAAGGGGCCAGCCTTGCTTCTCTCATCCCACTTCTCTAAGGTCCTACATAGTGAGGTGGTTGAGAAATGAAAGCATTTACTATATTTTGTTTGCAAACATTTGAGAAGGGGGCAGAGTGTATTTTTACTCAGGAGTTGAGGTCATTTCACCTTGTGTTTACAGCACACAGGAATGTTAACCTGTTCAGCTGCACCAAACTTCTCTTTTCTTCCTTCTGGAATCTTTTGCAGAATTAAAAAAAAAAAAAAACCAAACATACAAACAACAAAAAAACTGGCATTTTTCTTGAGATAGCTAAAGCTTGCTTTTCTAGGAGCTCTCAGTTTGAGCATTTGGGTAATATGCTTTTCGTGGCTACAGGGTTCACTTGTAGACCAGGTAGCCACCACTTTTGTTTTCTTTCCAACACCACAATATTTTTTCCAGGGCATGTTCCAGAAAGCATGAGGCCTCCAAGCATCTCAGCATATAAAGCTTCCCAAAATCTTAGGGAATGTTCCTGCTCTCTCCCGCTCCTACCTCACAAGCCTATTCTCTAGTGAATGTCTCAGAGAAGCCTAGCAGTGAAGGAACCCAGTGTTCCTCTGTGGCTCACACTTAAAACATTTCTAAAACCCCCTGTGAGCATGTCCTTCATATCAAAGAAAAAAAATCAAAGATTCAAGTGGTGACATTCCCTTATTATTCTTTCAATATTATTTTCTATTTTAAGAGAATTAAAAGTTAATCACCTAGAAAATGAACAAGAAAAAAATGACATTTATCATTCCATCTACATATTTTTATTATTCCTAAGTAATAATGTATTAATTTTTCCTTCTCGTCTTTTTTCAATGAATATTTTAATACAGTTGTAACCTTACTGTACATTTTGATGTAATTTTGATCATGCACATGATTTTAGTGAGCATAACTGATCTTCATGAGCAATGTCTCATGAATAGAAGTGATGGTCTGGGAAGCAAAACCATAGAAATGACCTTTCCTGATAGATAGACACATCAACACCCTTGTAGCCTTGTGAAGACATGTAAATGTGGACAGCAACAGATCCTGAGCACACTGAGACTGGAGGTCACATGAAGGTAGGGCAGATACTCTTTGCGATGGAAATTCTACTTGCACAAATATCATGGTTCCAGGCTTCTGTTGGGGACCTCCATGAAGAAGAGCTAAGTATACCTCTTAAAGCCTTGAGTAAGAAGGTACTGAAATGGCATCACATTCTCTGTGATGCATGTGGACTTACCTCTGCTGGGCAAGAGAGGTGAAGCTCTGGGATTAGGCGTCACTCAATGGGACTGGGCTGAATTTAGCAACATATATTTTATCAATCACCTTAATAATGTGGGACCTCCAATTCTCTAATTTCTTTTTCTCTACTCCTAAGTATAGTCTTCAGAATTGCAAAATAAATTCTTTTTTTGCTTCTCTGAAGACAAAAATTCCACATGTTATAAGTTTAACATCACTCGCTTTGTTCTATCTAATTCTTTACTTTTAACAAACCACTCCATAATATTCTGAAAAATTAAGCATGCTTGACTACTGAAGAGAAAGCCAAACCCACTAATTCTTAAAATTCACCCTGGGGTGTCCCTGTCCCTGTTCATGCACCACCTGCCACAACATGGGACTAAATCAGTCAGGGTCAATCCAGGTGAATTAGGCTGGTGCTACATAATCCCACGGACACAGAAAGTAGCTTTTTCTTGGGGCTCAGTGATGGCTCCTCTGCCCCAGCCCCCACAAGGGAGGCAAGAGAGGCAGGCAAAAGAGAGAGAGCACACCTGAGACCATCCTATTTATTGAAGGGAAGACATTTGAGAAAGTTCAACCCCAATAAGGCAAGGGATTGGGTTTCAGGGGGTGTAGCGCAGTTCCATTCAGTGATGCCCAATCTGAGAGCTGCACCTCTCTTGCCCAGCAGAGGTTAAGTCCACATGAATTGCAGCTGATGCATTGCAAGCTCAGTACCTCTCTACTAAGGCTTAAAGAAGTGTGCTTAGCTCTTGTTCATGGAGGCCCCCAACAGGTGGCAACTTTTAAGGAAGGCATGTGATTTCACATTGGCCAGTCTGTGTGCCAAAATGTGGGATGTTCATGCTAACGTGACAGTGCACCAACTCCCAGTGTGCAGTGGGGAACAGGCAATTAAGGAGTAGATCCCCAGGTCCTGAGAAGGCAC